TACCTTAGTTTTTGACCAGGATAAAACCTTTTATGATTCTCCCTTTCCCCTAAAGCAGTACTTTTTAACCATGATGGGAAGAAAGTGTTAATCTGCTGTGGGACCAATAAAACAAAATGATAGGCTGAATTCCTTTATTTGTGGCATTTACACTTCATTTGGAATACTCCTTAAAAGCAGTTCCAGGCGTGATTTAAAGAGTAGTTTGCAAAAGAGGCCATATATTTTAAAAGAAATGTGATTGTGTCTGGATAACAGTTGTCAGTTTTTGCAGTGATAGCTTTATAAACACATGGAATATGTATCGTAGCCAATATCTAGAGAACTTTTTAGGAAACTTTGGGGGACTCTTCAGTGTGTAACTGCATTTCTTTTTCCAAAATGTCCTATCTCCTGTTTTACTGGAGGAAAATACAATTCTGATGCTCTCTTTCCAAAATGAAACACATGAAATATTTTTAAGTGTTATTTAAAATAAAAGGGGAATAAATGTGATGATACTTCTTATTTTTATTGAATTATTTATCTAATGCAAATAAGCGCAGAAATATAAATTACATCTAGGCTTAAGTCTAGGCCGCAATTCCAGTCTTGGAGTTTGTAGTTCAAAATTAAGACAATGCATTATATTGATAAACAACTTAGAAAAGTGGGGAGGGGAAGAATACTGCAAAAGGACAAAACTGACAATTCTAGGAAATACAGGATTTGCAGAAATTTTAGGGGATTTTTGTTTGGAAAGCACATGCATGAAGTCAGAGCACATTCACTCTTGTATGGAGGGGTTTGTTTTGTTTTTACACGAAATGGTGGGCTTATTCACAGGGAGACAAATACCAACTTTGTTGAAAAGTGAGGTTTACAGGAAAAAAACCTGTCATAATTAGCAGAAAGAAAAGATTAGGTCTTATGGAAAAAATATTTATTTATTGAAGCATGAAATGACTTACATGATCTGACTAGATCAGCCCAGGGCAGTATTTTGGCAGTTACTAGTTATCTAAATAAAACCACAGTTTTATTTTTTTGGGAGAATATGAAACTGTATTAAGTAAATGATTTGTTTTTATTTGGCATTTCAGCTTCTGCTGTGATTAATAATTGATGCTTAAGATCACTGTATGTTTTCTTATGTTTTCTTTCTGAATGGTCTGGTGGCATTATGCCTGTGCTCGAAAACATACAGGATTTGTAATATTGCTGTAGTCTGTGGGAGATACTGTTATTGGGGCGGCCGGGGAAGGGGAAAAAAGTTTGATTGTTTTATAAAGAAAACAAAATATAGGGATGTTTTAAAGATATCCAGTAAGGAAGTCAGTTTTAAACTGACTGATCTTTTACTGTGAAAAATAACAAAACTTATTTTTGCTGATATGATCAGTTTGTCATATTATAACAATAATATCCAAATACCAGAAGGCAAGGACTTTGTATGTGTTTTAGAGCGTCATAATGTTAATTGGTAAGGCAGCATCATAGAGCTTAGGTAGCAGTGACCATTCACTTCCTAGAAACTGTTCAGAGACCTTGTTCAAAACTGTACATGCTTTGAATTTAATTAATCCATCTTCTGATGTGTAATAGCGTCCAATACAAATACATAAGTGTATGTCATGTGGTAGTTTCAAGTTTTCTTAGTTGCCAAAACTATAAATCGGTTGGATGTGGTCATCTTACTTGTCACTTTCTATTTTGTTAGACCTTTCTCTGTCTAAATACAGTTTATTAAATTATGTGCATTTGTTTTGCTACTGCCGGATATTGTGTAGAGATTGAGTTGGAATCTTTGTGTGGCTGCTTATTATGCTGGTCAGTCTGGACTCCTTGTAGACCTATTTGTGTGTACATATACCGTCCTTTGTAGTGAAATTGTATTGTTTTGTATAATGTCTTCCACAATAAGATGCTGGTCTGTGACTGTAGCCCGTACGGACGTTTATGATATGCATACAATGGCAAGCACTTACTATTAGAGTGATACTTTACCTTTTTAAAGGTAAGTATTAATAAAAGATTAAACACATCGAGAACCCTTTAGTGGGGAAGCAGGGCTTTAATAATGTATTTGACTGGCAGTTTATGTAATATGTTAAGCCTCTAGATAAACTGAAGAAGCTTAACATTGTGTGCCTGAAATTTTGAGATGTGATCTTTCAAGCACTCCCAACGTGTTTGTTACTTTACTTGCAGGAGGAATGTCACAGTGTTGAGTTAAAGGGCTGAGACTCAGGAAAAGTTTAGTTGTAGTTTTGCTATCCTGACTGCAAAAGGCAATTGATTGTACTTCATCTCAACTAGAGAACTACTCACATCAGTTGAATTATGCATATACTTAAATGTTTGCAGGCACATGCACTTTGTGATAATTACTACCGTATACTATGTGTGGGAGTATAAGTGAGGATATAGGATGTTCTGTATGAATTGGGAGGCTTAGATTCAGTTGCTGGCTTTGCAAACTTGTTTGATAGGTGCTCAACACTGCTTCAGAATTTGTTGTTTAAGCAAATCTATCCCATCTTAATCCAAAATAAATTTAATTCTGAAACTTTGGTTTTCAGAAAAGATTCTGTGAATTTTTTTAAATGATTTTTACTTTCTAGGTTAGCCTGTTTTATAATTGTATTTTACATGTATTACACAGTTTTATCTTCAGATGAAGGAATGTAGGTTTTAGTAGAGTAGAGAAGTTCTCCATCCTAAGCTTGCAGCAATGAGCTACAAGATTAGAGTAATAAAAGCTTCAAACAAACTCTTAACAGACAGCAGACAGTTTGGGTCTGAACTGAAGAATGGACCTGATAAATTTCCATTGTCCTGGACATTGTTTAAGTGGGGAAAGTATTGTTGTGGCTTTTTTCTGAGTTGATTAATTGTACTAATATTGACACTTTTATTCTTGGGAATGTGCAAGTATTTAGACTTTTAATTTATGATGCTCGCGGTTGAGACTAGATGAACTAATCTCACAGCTTGTTGGTACTGGAAGGGAGGGCTTCTGCCTTGTCTTCACTCACCAGGGCTCTCTGCTCTGGTGCTTATCTGACCTCCTGGTAAGCTGCTTTAACTTGCAAAGTTTGCAGAATACTTGGGTATTGACCAGTTTTCTGCTGGGTTTATCAGTTTATTTAACTGATTTAACTGACATGAGGGCTAGAACTGTGTGGCCAGGAAGGGAAGAAGTATTGGTGAACGTGTCCGTTTCTGCATCAACAAACCATTAAATCAGCTCAACTGTACGGCCTGACAGCACCTTCAGAAAAGGTCATCCTCCTTTGGAGACAGAGTACCTATATGAAAGAGTATAAAAGCACAGTCACTAATTTAGATTCAAAGAGTAATACCAACATCTTCTTTTCTACTACCAAAATTTTTTCCATGTAGACTTTCACAAAAATAATTTTTTTAATGTAATAATTCAGGGGATTTTGATTACAAATATAAAGCAAGTTGTTTTATAGACTGATCTTAAATAGTTTTTTTTGCTATATTGATCAAAGAGATTTGTGTCTTAAAGTAATATGAAGTGATAGTGCTATTTTGGTATTGCTGGAAAGGGACGTGGAAGAATTTCTCTTTTTTACTGTCTGTGTTCTGGTTACTTCCAAATATATTACATTCTATTCAATAGCGTCTTAACCATACCATAGCTTTTTGCTGAGCTTGCATGTTTCTGCTGATGACACTGTATGTGAAAATGCCCATTTTCAAGTTGCCTTTAAAGTGTGCATATACCTTGTATTTGCTAATTATAATCGTCTGATTGCTGGAACAACTGTTTAGTCCTGCTAGGAGAGGTAATCACCTGTATGGGATGCAAGTAGAATGAGTAACGGATTGCTACAGAATCCTTTTTTACTGTTGATTTTTCACAATGAGCCTCTAATAATTGTACGTAGCCGCCTTATTTGGTAACATACTTAAAAATTGCTCCCACAAGACATTGTAGCCTTGTCATCTTATGTAGGAATACAGTGTAGCTCTAATGCTGTCTTCAGTTTCTGCACATGAAAGACTTTTTGATGGAAAATAAATGAAACCTTTTGTTGAAAATTTGCTAGTGTGAAGAAAATTCTTAAGATATTAATTGGTATCGGTTATAGGTAAATCACTACTTTTTTTGAATACCGTTGCTTTCAAATGGAAACTGCTTTTGAAGCCTCATGCTGGGGTGACAGTAGTGGTAGAAGAGAGGGGAAAATCCTTGTAACTTGAAAGCATGTCCGTTTCTAAGCCGTCAGTGTAGTAGAAGCCTACTTTTTAAGTGTTTATTTTATAATACACACAACTATTATTTCATGGAACAGTCTGTACAGTATTTAGTGTAGTTTTAAATATGACTAATTTGGTTGAGGGAGCCTCAGGAGTGACTGGAGACAACATAACATAACATGACAGGTATTTGGATCTTATGGTGGATTCTCTTGGTGGCTAGAATAGGTAAAATTCTGTCTTACTGTTGATAAAACATTGCATCAGGAAATCATGCACATAGTTTAATGGTAAAAATTATTTACAGGCCAGAGTTTGAAAACGATCATAGTCATAGAATCCTATGAGAAGTATTTCCTCATTAGTTAACGACAGTAGGTTAATGCTTCCGTGCTTCCTTTAACATGCTAAAATTGCCTAGTGTTATCACTTTTCTGTTTGTAAGCCTGTATAATGTTAGGAAGACTCTTTTTTTTAAGCATATCATATATATGTGTATCCACTTTTCTGTTTGTAAGCCCGTATAATGTTAGGAAGACTATTTTTTTAAGCATATCATATATATGTGTATGAGATCTATTGGGAGACTTGTATTTCTTTGCTGTGTAACTCTTGTGAATGAGTGTTTACTCTGTGAAAATTAAAATGTAGTCAGCCATTTAAACTGCCCAAACTTAATTTTAACGACATAACGACAACAGAAAAAGAACCCCAAAACATTTGTGTGTACATGCCAAAATCTAACTTTTTATATTTTTTTCTTTTTTTTATATTTCTTTTTGTTTCAGTGTGCAGCTATGTCGTGCACTCAGCGAAAACAAAAACCATGATCATGTGGGTTTCAGAGGTAAGTTATGTGTTTTCTTGGTTGCTTTTAATTAAATTAAAAAAAAGCCTGGAAACAGTTGATCATGGTACCTCTGCATGTATCTGCTTGGAGCATTCATATATGGTGACCATTAATGTGTGCTAAAGGCGAATACTACAAATAGTAAGGCAATACAAACATCTACAACTAGATTTGTTTTCAGATGTCCAGGTGAGAGACTTCTTAGGCAGTAGTAGGTCGTGGCAAGATAGTCCAGTATTTGGTCTGTGTTATAGAAAATGGAATTCCATTTTGCAAACTCAACATACAGCTAGATTTTATTCTAAAAGTTAAATATATGAATGCTAATGTATGCAAGTATGACTATATACTCCAGAAACTAATTTTTACAACAGTACCTGAGTTAGACTTTTTCCTCCTTTGTTAGTGAAAGACAGTGCTGTCTTTAAGTTTTAAATTCATACTTTAAGAAGTCTTTGATGTTTAAAGAAAAATTAAATTTCTGTTTCCTTTGAAGAATCTGTTGGAAGAGAAGCTTCCATATTATTACTCAGATGACAAATGTGCTATGCTGTTTAGATGATGTTTTGAGTTCTTGCTAAAATAGTCATAATGGGCAATTGTAATAGCAGAAAAGATAAACCAAAACATTTATATGTAAGTTATAAGTAATATTATTAAGTAAGGAAAATTCAATGTTCAACAAAACAAAATTACTATTCCCAAAGCTTTTGAAGAAAGGCCACCAAATGTTCTCTGTTGTAGACAGAGGTTGATAATTTCTATATGGTGTTTTCTTTTTTTTTGTCCTTGCTGTCAGGATCTAAAAGATCCAGGGGGAATGACTAGATAGATAAATGGAATGGCTATATTGGAGGAATTAAACAGTAGAAATAGTTTAAGTCCTTCTGGTGATGGAAAAAACTCTGAAAATATGGATAATCTGGAGGGAGGTACAGAGATGCTGACTGTTAAGAATTTGAGTCCACATGACCTGGATCCGGTTCTGAAAACTCCATTGGCACTTGCATTTCTGCCTTTTAGTTCCAGGAAGACCTTTATTGAAGTCCAGTATACCATAGGCTTATGGAGATAGTTCAGATTTGGCAGTGTAGCTGTGTGACAAATTCCCCATGATGTGGGGAGCCAGTTGCAGAGACATATCTGAGGCTATGCTTATGGCTGGTTTGGGTTCATCATAAATTAAATTGGGTACTGCACCAAACTGTCTTCTTGAATTGGCCTTCAAAGTAGAAGAGTTATGTTTTACATAGAATTGATGTCTAAGCCAATCCTGCTATATTCAAGACTTCAGCGTTTAGTTTTCTTTGTCAAAAGCACTGTGATAGATAAAATTAACCTATCCATTTAAAAAGTAAATAAATCTGCTTTTAATGCAGCTACAGTGGTCTGCAGTCACCAGGTTACTGAGTGCTTGGTTTAAGTCATTAGGAACTGTAACTTGTATGCCCATTGTGAATATTGTTTATTGAGCAAACCACATGGTACAAGTTTAAGGTGAAAGCATGAGGTTTTGTTATTTTTCGTGTACTAGGAAGTATAGCAACATTGTGCTGTATTATTTAAGAAGAAATACTTACAAGTTTACCATAACTGTTTTTGCAACCACTGTGTTTAATATTGCAAGATTTCTCTCACATGCCTCTGTTCAGTGTTTCAGCTTAATATAAGCTTTTGTAAAACAACATTCTTCAGTTATGGGAGACTTTCCTTAAAAAAATAAAATAAGAAAATCCTTGTTAAGCATTTTTTCTCCAATTAAATTTACTTTATCCTAGAGAGATGGTTTTTGAAAGCATATATGTGATGAGATGTGATTAAGAAAAAGTACTGGAATGTTTTCTATGTATTACATTTACATATATGTGTGTATATATGTATAATGTGTTAGTTATGTGAATTATAAGTTAAAGGTGTCTTTGTTAAACCAACTGCTAAGACTTAGGTTATTGTGTGTGGGACTGTAGTTTTTCATCCCATTTTACTGTTATTCCATAAACTCTCCAGGGAAAGTGGATCATCTCTTACGGTCTGCTTGTGTGAAGTCTTAGATATTGATGCCGAAATTGAGTCTATCAGTAGTAATAAAGTAATTCCTCTCATTGGTGAGAGAAGCATATCCCCTTTAGTTGCAGGGTGTCTGAAGCCTACAGCATTATTGTAAACATTATTTAAAAGTTAGACGAAGGATTACCTGATATGTTCCTTAATCATCTGGTTTCTTTCAACAGATATCCAACAGGCTTTGTATGAGCTTGCATACCACGTTGTCAGAGGAAACTTAAAGCATGATCAAGCTTCTAATGTTCTTGGTGATGTCATAGTAAGTATAGTTTTGTAATAATTACATACTTACTGAATTTTTAGTTTGCTATAAAAGTCTGAAAATCAAGCAGGATAATACTAAACACTTGTTTTTCCATGTCTAAAAAAATCATTCTTGTCAAGTCCTTTTTCTTTATTTGTTTGCACTTGAAATATATGTATTCTGTCAGGGTTTCATTTTTCCCCTACTTTCTGTGGTGAGGAATAGATATATTCATTTTAGCATAAACTAAAAATTAAATAATTTTTTAACGCCATATGAAGACTGAAGCTTTTAATAAATGCTAAAAATAGATTTCACTTGCTTATGCAGCATGTCTGTAATGCCACCTACTGGTTTTTATAATTTACATCTTTCTTACAGTGTGACAATGTGCGTGTCTGCCATTTTATTGTTGAGATGTGTAAGTCCCATGACTGCCTTTAAAATAATGCATTAGACTTATTTTTGTTTGAAAAAGTTTTTTCTTAAAATGCTTTGAATAAATAAAGTGGGGAAAAGAGTATTTTCCTCTAAACTTATAAGGTTATGAAATGTTGGTGTTCCCCCCAAAAAAAAAATTAAAAAAGACATTAAAAAAAAATTCTTCTAAAAATGGTTTCTTTAGAAGTGCTTAGATTGCTGTTTTGACATGTATAGAACACTAAGAAAAAATACCTTTTGCAATAATCTGTTCTAGGATAACCTTGTTAGGTTTTTAAACTTCTGCATTGGGTTTGAGAGAAGTCAAGGCTGAAATACACCTTGTTGTTGGGATAGCGTGTCGTAATGTTTGATCTTGAGTTACTGTAGGAAATTCTAATTTGTTCAGTGCCTGAGAAAGTATAGTTTGCTGTACAGGCTGGTGCTGCTCTTCAGACAGGGAGTTCGATTGTGCTACAGAAGTGGAGATAGTAACCAGATGATTTTGTCCCTGGCCACTAGATGCTCTTTTAAATTACATTAAAATGTTATGTTATTTCATTACATATCAAAAATTAGTACAGCAGTTATGTTAGCTATTGGTCAATAATTGAGCCTCTTTGTTATTAATTAATCTGAATTATTAATATCATTAGTAATAATAATCTGCGTTATTAATTAATCTGAACTTACTTTATGATGAAGTGTTGTTTTATGTCATGGAATAAGAGTTTTCTAAGTGTACATATCGGAGCTTCTGTATTCACTAAGTGTGATCTTTTTTATTTTCAGGAATTTCGGGAAGACATGCCTTCCATCCTAGCTGATGTATTCTGCATATTAGGTAAGTTGGATTCCCTTCCTTTCAGCCTTGCGACAGATTTGGAGAAATACATGCTTTGTGTGTTTGCTTATTGATATCTTCAGGAAATTTCATTAAATCTGTAAGGCATGACTTCTCTTTACAAAATATGTGTTGATTCTTCCTCAGTGTATCTGTATCTCAGTTGTTAATGTATTTTCATTCTGCTTTGTTGTGTTACAGTTTCCAGAAGTTTACCTATTAAAGGCAGTGGAAATTGATCTGCCAAGAATAGTTAAAGGAGCTAGCTCTGCCACATTGCTACATCACTTGTTTTCAGACTGTTTGGGGGCTTCTTTCTCCAATTGTTGTTGTTGATATTTTCTCTATGGGTCTATTTTTTTCTGTGGGTATGTGTGGGGGTTTTTTTGTGGTTTTTTTTTGTGTGTGATGTCTGCCTTGCATTCTTCTATTGAGTTTTCCACTCCTTTTGCAGCTCCTCTCTTCCTGTAACGATGTGCCTTTTTTAACTACTTCAGACAGGTGTGCTTCCTTGGTCATTGTTTTATGGCCTGTGTTCCCACAAGAGTGAATTTATGAATTGCATTCTGTAGTTGACAATGCAAAAGAAAAGAATGGAAATACAGAATCATGGCTAGTAAGGCTACAGACCAGGCAGTAAATGGTAGTTACTCTGAAGACTCGGGAAAAGAGACTAGAACATTACATTAAGGCTGGGATCATGGAGTTGTTTTCAGCAATTCGTATTTCTCCTGTTTCATGCTTATTATTGATTCTTAATGCTAGCCATAAACCTTGCTGCAACAGAGAGAAGGGCAAGAAAAATTATGGCATTCCCCTGGTTTCTGTTTTACCTTTTCATGAGATTTGTGGAGTTATCATCAAAATATTATGTGGACATTAAGGTGGATGAGTAGCTGGAAAGTGGCAAGAAGGTAGCATTTTATAAACAAGCTACTTTGCATTGTGTTACCATTAGCATTTTATCAGAATCGGTATAAAAAAAGAAACTCTTGTAAATACCACAAGTAATGATTTTTTTTTTTTCCTATCTTCCTTTATACTAGATATTGAAACAAGTTGTTTAGAAGAAAAGAATAAGAGGGATCATTTTACCCAACTGGTGTTAGCTTGTTTGGTAAGTTGCACTTAAAGTCTTTTTGATAAAATCATATGCCAAAATCTGACCAGAAAAATCAGAGTTTTGAAGTTTGCTTTTTTTTTTTGGAGGAAAAGACTGTTAGAATGTTTTAACAAATTCCCAAATAATTTAATAATGTATCTTCAAAGTGTTATGGTGGAATAATATAGTATAGTTGTCCGTTGAATTTTTTAAAGAGTTTTGAGAGAACTTAAATTTTTCTCCCTGTCAGTTCAGCAGAAATTTTGCTTCTGAAGTATGTTTTGGGTTGGACTTCTTTATGCAACCTCCTCTGTCTTTAGAAGTGGCATTCCTAACCACATGGAATAAGCTTGATTTGTAGGAAAATTCAGCATGTGAAAGTAAGGCTTTTCTCCCAGAATATGAGAGAATAGGTATAAGCTTTGTAAATATGCGGGTCCTGGTAATAATATCCCTAGATGCTATGCAGTGTGTACTTTATAACCAGCAGTTAGGCTCTAGGGCTTGTTTCTTCAGGGTACTCTTGTATGTAAAATCTGTGACTGTAAAATTCCAATTTCAGTTAAATAGTTTCTCAGTTTTGTTCACTTCTATGTTTGAAGCAGAATGGATTTGGTATCATGGTATATCATGATATGTGGAATTCTTTTGTTTTTTTAAGTGAGAACACATATATAGCCTAAAGTAATAACTAGGTGGTTTCTAGGTCTTTTGTAACTGACAAATCTGATGTATGTTTTTGGTGTTTTTTAGTATCTTGTATCTGACACTGTCCTAAAGGAGCGCTTAGATCCAGAGACACTGGAGTCATTAGGACTTATCAAGCAGTCTCAACAGTTCAATCAGAAATCTGTAAAAATAAAGACAAAACTGTTGTAAGTTTTGGGGCAAGGGTTGTTTGGGGAGTGGGTGGGGGAGGGCAATGATAATTACTCTGGTAACGATGTTTTCTAATAATGTGTAATGTTTCTTTTAATAAAATACTCAGTTTTCTTTGGCAGATGTGGGTTTTTTGCACTTTAACTTGTCATTGACAAAAGAACCTCGTTAGCCTTTTTAGTTTGCAAACTTGAGAAATGTAAAATTTTAATTTCACTTGTTGCTATAGCTTTTTCTACAGTAATTGCATATGTGCAGATTAAATGCTTAATATTTAATTTTATTTGTGACAAATGTGAATTTACAAAGTATAAGAAAATTTAATGTTTGTTATTGCATCTGTTAAACATAGGTGTTTGTTTTCATAAATAAATAAATGTAGTTATGTTTTGGCAACACAGGGTATATTTTTACAGGTGTATGCTTGGTTTTTGCCTCTGCATCCAATGTTTCAGTCTCAACCTCAGAGAACACTACTTGAAACTAGAATAGGTCCTTAAGCATGGACTGTTAGAGAGCAGTCCTCCAGCATAGCGTGTAAGAACAAGCTTTACTGTTAAGTGTAAGCATAATCTTGCTTTTAAATGGTCTGCATTTGAAATAAAAGAAGAGCTGGATTTGTTTGGAGAGTGCTCGCTACCTTGCAGGTATTCATTGTACTGTATCTTATAATTTTTGCAGTAGCTCAAGTAAATTACTATTTCATAAAAATGTGTTCAAAGTTACCATTTTGTATAACAACTTTAATATTGATAAGAGCATAAATAAGCTTCACTGGTCATGTGTTACACAATAGTGTTTAATTTCTGTCTGTTTGCAGTTATAAGCAACAGAAGTTTAATTTGTTAAGAGAGGAGAATGAAGGTTATGCGAAGCTCATTGCAGAACTGGGGCAAGACTTATCTGGAAATATCACTAGTGATTTAATCCTTGAAAATATCAAATCTTTAATAGGTAAGGAATTTGAAGGAATATGGGCACTGGTTTTCTTATGTGGTCTTATAACTACAGAGAGTGACCATGGACTACTATTTGAGATCATCTGTGGGTCAAATAATATGTCATACAGGCATGTAGTGCAATAGTAACACGTTTTGGTAGATTGCCTTGGGTAGAATTGTGACATTTGGAAGTTCGTGTTTATGTGACAAAATTAATTTTGGGAATGTTGTGTAGTTAAACTTAATTTAGATATGGAATTTATGGTACAGCCTCAAATATGCATGCTGTGATTTTTTTTTTTTTTATTATTCATTTCAGCAGTATTTTTTTGAGGATGAGCTTGTCATCTCTTAGCAGGCAGATTGGAGCATAACAGAGTATTGCTTCTTGCTATTTTAAGGTGCTCAGTTCAATGCATGAATATTCTTTTAGTCTTAAAGAAGATGAACAAGTGATTCCTTATGAAGAGAATTGAGAAGTAGTAAACGTTCTTCATTTATATAGTTCTGATGGTGATTTCTCTGTATTTCTAAGTTGAGTCTTGACGAGAGTGTCACAATGAAAGTGCAAAATACACTAAAAACAGGAAATATCTGTAATTCCCCATGTTTTATACTTCCTTTTTGAATAAAGAGTTTTATACAATGTATCAATGTTTGCACCAGTGGCTGTTTGATACGGTGCCAGTGCAGTAATGGTCAAAAGGCTATGATACTATTTTATAAAAGATAATTTTTCATTTATTGCACAGTTTTGCCTGAGACTGTCAAATCCCTGTAATAATACTACTTATTTTGGAAGAGGGCTAGAGAAGAGGATGGTTCTGCTAGTTATTACAGTAAAAAAATACACACTCAGTTTGTGGAATTTTATACCAAAACATTTTTCTGTTGTCTGGAATTTTAGGAATTGCAAATAGACTTCCTATAAATTGTCACTTCCTTTAAAGTACTGATTTGCGGTAGGTCCTGGTGTAGTGGAAATGGCTTTTGGGGAGGAAAGACTGATGCAATTATGTATGTGCATAGTGGATGTGCCTGTATAAAAGTTCTCATGGCACAATGAATGAAATAGTCTAGATGTGGATTCTTTTAATGTAAGTAATGTTTCTGTCTCGAACATGTCTCCTGGAGTTTTGGTGCACATGTTTACATAGTAAAATCCAAGTATGATTACAACATTGGCTTAAGCTGATCTATATCCTTGCTCTTGCTCCCCTCAAAATAAACAAACCATTCTCCCTAATGGTAGCAATAATACTGAATTGACAGGGACAGTACAACCAGGTGGATCAGAATCTAGCTCAAACTAGAATGATTTTTGGTGTGTAAAATAATTTCTAGCTGGTTGATTAGTGTGACTTCCTGAATATGTGTGCCAGCATAAGGGTAGAGGAAGCAGCCCATGCCTTCTGCTGGCACTACGATATTAGTGAGGTTGGGTTTTTACTTATTTAATGTTCATCTTAAGTTGATAATTTCTAATTTTTCTGTAATCTGAATTGGAAGTCCTGTTTAGTATCTTTGTCTAGTTCAATATTCAACATAAGTCAAAATGATCAATGCTGTATTTAGAGATGATACAGATTATTTTGCTGTAGATAAATCCAGGATCAATTTTAACTGAAAAGAATTAATTTTAAAAACTGAGGCATTTGTCGTTTAGTAGCAGAATGAAGATGGAAAGTAGCGATGTTAAGCTTTTCTACTATGTTCTTCTCCACTAGGGTGTTTTAACCTTGATCCTAACAGAGTTTTGGATATTATCCTAGAAGTCTATGAGTGCAGGCCTGAATATGATGACTTCTTTGTACCACTGATAGAGTCTTATATGTACATGTGTGAACCTCAAACTCTATGCCATATCCTTGGGTTCAAATTCAAATTTTATCAGGTAATGTATTTCTGTTCTTAATTTTTGGTTTTGGGGGTTGGTTGGACTCAGTGTTGAACTGCAGTCAGTGATAACAGATTTTTGCTGCAGATTTTTTTTTTTACATAGAAATAAATTTCTAAGTTGTAAAACTCCAATATTAAAAACAATAATTTCATGATTTGAGTGGAAGTCTCTAATGTATTTTAGAGGAAAATGCTTAGCATTCTCCAAAACAGACAGCTGAAAACAATCTTAATACCTTCCATTTGAACTTGTATAGTTATATAAGGACTAGCATTTGCCTTATAAACAAAAGACTCGTCCCCCGGAGTGAAGAGCATGTTTGCAAGGGAGTCATGGTCGATATTTGATAAAATACTCAAGTTTTTTTAAATGTATGGTTAGGAATTGCATACAAGCACCATAAGATGTGAAGATAATTGAATGTTTTTGTTTCTGAAAGTTCTGATTGTGTATTGCAGTTAAGTCTAGTGGCTTTGGAGTAATAGCAGTTAAATAACATGATAACAAGGAGAACTGTGGGTTAATATGTTTCATCTGAAATTTGAGTAGTTTCTCTTCTGTTTTGTGACCTTCTGCAGTGGTCTGTTTGCTTTTTTCCTTAAATTTGTAATCTTGTCCTTTTTAGGATCCAAGTGGTGAGACACCTTCCTCCTTGTACAGAGTTGCTGCTGTCCTTTTGCAACATAATCTCATAGATTTGGAAGATCTTTATGTTCATGTAAGTGAGTGGCTACTCTATCAAATGCCAAAACTAAGAAAATTTTAAAAAGCCAGATATTTTACCCTATCCCTGAAGCTTCAGATTCAGGACATACTGTGTAATACCTATGTATGTACATCTTTAATGTCTTTTAAAATTTCGAGCACTTTCTGATGCCACATATTCAAATAAACACACACTGAAATATGAATAGTCATACACTTTCCTTGAATTATCTGTGTAGCATCCTCCAGGTTGCTTACCTTCCTGCCTGAATAGGAGATAGAAGGTAAATACATGAGTATGCTTTAAATGCCTGAGTAAGAACTAGACCCTTTGAGTGTTTCACTTTACAAGATCCAATTTTTGAAAAAAAGTGGTAGGACCATTGGCTATTAAATTCTTTAATAGTAGATTTTTTAAAAAACTTTTACATATTTCTGAATAGGCTTTTCATCTCGTCTACAAGAATTCTGACCATTTGTTAGGTTGAAAGAGGAAAATGGAGTTACATGTTCAGATTTAATCAGAGAGACTTAGGCTCTTATCAACCAATCAACATACCAATTTGGCAGAGGTAAACAAAATGTTGCAGTTATCAAAATAATTTTACTTTATACACCAGTTTTTAATTTCAGAATATCTATGGATATTTTAAAGTTCTTTACTGTTCCACTGAAATCAAGGATATGAGCTCTAGTTACAGCTGTGGAAATTTTGGAATGTAGTCCTGCCATTAATTTGTGTGACAGTTAATAGCATTAGTCACAATCTGACTTGTCAATAACAGTCTCTGGCTTCATAGGAGTATTTTGGCTGAAAATGTGTCAGGTGGAGCAAGAGCAGGAGTGCAAGTCTTGGATTATTGGTGTGGAGCGAGGAATGCATGATAATAATGCTAGTTTGTTAAGGAATGTTTGTAAGCTTACAAAACAAATGCTCAGACTTGGAATTACAGTGGCCTGTGCAATTTCAACTCGGACCTGTATAGGTATGGGAATGTTTTCTGACAGCTAGAATGGTCCCTGCATTCATTTATACTCTTCATCTTCGCATGGTGATTCTCAGTCTCGTTTTCAGTCTACTTTCATTCCAGAATCTGTCTTGCCAATCTCTCTATCTGTCTTTGTGTATTTGGGATGGCATTTTTTTTCCTCAGTTCAGGCTTAATTTAACTTGCTATGGGAGTTTCAAGAAAATAATTAGCATGTAGGTGTTGAGTCTTTAGTGGTATGTATTGTGCAGCTCTTGTACAATAGCAGCTGTCAAGATTATCATTCATATCAAGAATGTTCTCCCGCCCTTCCCCTTCCTAGCTTGTAGGAACTGTTTTCTATTTGTGTATGTGTACACACAGCCATATGTAATATGTATTGCATCCTGAAGATGTGATTTACTCCTTGAACTTCCGCACTAGGTATTTCTTGGTGAATCTTAGTAGATTACCTGTGTTTTCAAATTAGTAAAGTGTAGCTATTTAAACCTTTTACCTTTCCAAGTGGGTTTCTTTCTTCCCTGAAATTCTATGAAATCAAGGAATTCTATGATGTTTTCTCTGAAGAAGGTGATGCTTAGTCTTTCCTTCTTCTACTGTTAGTTTGGGAGGAGAAAAAACAGTAAAAATCTTCCCTTTTTTAAAAAAAAAAGATTACTGTATCAAAGAGGTCATGACTGCAGTAAGTTTTGATTACTTACTTGCAATTAAATTTTGAGCATGATTTTAGGAATCAAGTTGAAGTTTGGCTTTATCAGAAGAAGAGCTTTTCTTCTATCTCACAACTTGACCTTTTGATTTTTGAGCGTAGGGTTATCTTCCTCACCCTGATTGTTCTCAAGTCAAGACTGTGCTGAGGTTTTATCATAGTAGATATCTCTTAATGTAAGATGGCTTTTAAGGAACAGATGCTGCATGTGTCTAACCGGTATTACTGATAAATAGGAAGTTTGGTAAGCTTTAAATGGTATTCCTTTAAAATAAAGTGCACTCAAAATGTGTATCTAAGTAAGTCTCCTGGTTTTGCTTGGTGATTCATTTTTCTTTTCCTTTAGATGAGCAAGTGAAAATTTTATGCTTTTGAATATTCACTTTGTTTTTAAGGCACTGAATTTTGTAAATGTTATCATCTAGTATGTGCAAAATTGTCACTGTGTAGCTACAGCTGAATGGTAAATGGGAGAGGGTAAGGGGGAACTTATACAACTAATAGCTGTGAGGAATTGGAACAGTATTTTTTTTCTCATGAGTCCTTGATTTCAGAGTAGTCTGTTAATAGTATACTTCCTTGTTGGGATGATGTTAGCAAGAAAATAATCTAGGGACTAAGTTTGATTAGTAATAAGGAAGGACAAACTTCTGCTTCGAGCTAAAGTGATCAAAAATAGCAGTAGGTCACTTGAATTTTCAGATATAATGTTTGTTATGGTGTGTGTGTTTGTTTTTTTTAGCTTCTTCCAGGGGATAATACCATCATTGAGGAACACAAGCGAGAGATAGTGGAAGCTAAGCAAATTGTCAGAAAACTTACAATGGTTGTCTTATCCTCTGAAAAGACTGAGGAAAAGGAGAAGGAAAAAGAAAAAGAGGAGGAGAAAACTGAAAAGGTGTGTGTGTATGAATAGTTTCCTTTCCAAGAAAATGATTTTAAATTATTTTAAACTAGACATAATATTATTTATGAAAATATTTTCATATTTATTTGAAACATAGACGTACATAGAAACATAGAAACAGAAACATATGTACTTCTTGGAAGGCTTGTGTCTGTCCTCTGGTTGCACTTCCATTACATTGAATGTGCAAAAATGCATGGTTTTGGGGGTGGTTCTGAATTTCTCTAGGTTTAATGGTCTTCGTTTAATAGCTAATTAATTTCTTTCCTCCCTCCTTGTTTTATCAGCTCCACTGGGTATGTCCCAGCATTCATATACTTCACAATCTTTAACAACTGTGTTTTCTAGGACTTATGATTGTGTCATCCTGGTTCATTTCTTAAAAATAAGGACATTAGTAAGAGTTCATGCCTTATTTCTTCTCTCAATCAAGAATTGGGACATAAAGTATTGCCAGACTTACGAATATTGGTTTTAATTGAACATTTTAAATTGCAACTGCTGTGCTTTCCGTTAGATCTGTATCTTTGTGTGTGTAAATGTATGCTCTTTATTTAAGGTGCTACTGTGCCATGTATTGTTCATGTGCCCTAGATCTAATTTGTTTCAGTATGTCCAAGCCTTACTTGAAAAAAAAAACAACTACTTAATCTCTTAGCAGCCTTTCTGTTGTGATCTTCATATGAGTGACTAAGTACCGCTTAAACATCTTATTTAAACAAAAAAAAGTAAAATAAAAGCTTGATATTTGCATTTTATCAGTGGAGTACTGGAGAGTGGGGAGAGGTCCATCAATCTCGACAGCTTCTGTTCTTAATTTTCTATATCCTCCTGGATTCATTATATCAATCTGTTTTGTCTACTTGTTCCTGTTTGTTCTACCCCACCTTGATTCTGTACATCTCTGATGTTCCTTCCCTCTTCCATTTTTCTTGCCTAGCTTGAAAAATCTGATTTACTTCCCTTAGATAGCTGATAGAGTCACTGCTCTCTGGCGCTCAGCTACAGCCACATCTACTGCTTAAACTGATTCCTTTCACTGGCATTAAGCTTCTGATCTCCTTCCCACTCATTGTTTCATTATCCCTTTTGATTATGCCACATTGCTTTGGTTTGCCTTCTCTGTGGTCAGATGAGACTGCCTGGTATTCTCTGAAGTGTGCATGTCACGACGTTCTGATGGAAAACTAAACTCTTGATGGAACATGGGGAGTGTATATATTCCAAGTCATGTCAGAAGAATTAAGACAGTTTTTGTGGCTAAGCTTTAGAATTAAGAACTAGGGAATTTTAAGCTCTAGCAGAAACTGCAACATTTTTCTGAAGGATTACAATGACAAATAAGAAAGTCTGAGCCCGTGTGATGGGAAAATGGAGAGCTGTACTTAACAGCATGCAGAGTCACAGAAATCATTTTTGTTATGCAATGCATACCACTTCTTGAAAAGCTTGTTTCTGTAATAATACTTTTCTATGTAATTAGCTGTGCAATTCGTAGCAATTAGTAGAATAACTACATGTAAAAGCTGTTGACAGTCTAAATTTGAGTACTTTCTATCCAGTATGCAGTTTTAACGTACAGTTTTTGATACGATACCATGGAATCAATGTCTGGATAAGGATAGTACTGTTTAATGATTACTGACTTAACTTTTCTTTTAAATCCACAAAGTGCTTATTTTGTGTGGTTAAAATTTATTACTGTCTCATGACTCTAATATGAATAATTTAGTATTGGCAAATGCATTATCTACCTTTGCCTTTTAAGATACATTTGACGGAACCGAATAATAGGGAGATACTTGAGAGGTCACGGAACGCAGCAACGTGACTAGATTTGACAGCAATTGCAGACTGACTTCTCTGTGTGCCATGCATGCTTTTGCTTTTGGAGAGCATGTTTCAGAAGAGGTTGCTTGCTTAGGGAGACCTAATCAAGCAGCATGTGTGTGTGTGAGCGGTGACTGCTTTGGAAATGAAATGGCATACTAACACATAAAGCCTAGAAAGACTGTGGGTTCTAATGTAGTTAGTAATCAACCAGAAAAAACCTAAATAACCAAAGATTTGATGTTTAGTATTGAACTTTAACTGGTAAGAACATACCAATTAAATAACTGGTTTATGAATTTTTCTTTTGTAATAATGACTTTTAAATTAAGAAGTCTGTTCTGTTGAACATGGGATTTTAACCTTCCTGCATATCCTGCACAAGTAAAGTTTTTAAACACTTCACTAAAGGATGAGCGAACTCTTTTGTTAACATAGTATATATTGCCTTAAAAAGATAATCATTTGCATCAAAGTAACTTGAAGTAGTTACATGGTAAAATAACATTAGTGTGTGCACTTGTAATTGCACATGTATGTTTTGAATCTTTCAGAGGCTCATCTTGTTCTGTCATGCAGACAGATACATTTTTTTTTTTCTGGAAGAAAAGACTAAAATTTAATTACTACTTAAGTTCAACATGAATATAGAATAGATCTGTGCACTTTGTTTTGTTCTGAAACTTTCCTCTGCATGTTACCGTGTACTGTTTTCTGTTTTCACAACTATAGAAAAATAGTTGCTAGTGTTATGAAGAAGTTTTAAAAGGGGAAAAAAAAATTTAAAATTCATGCAAACTATAGAACCACGGAAACATCTGCTTTGTAATTCATTTTTGTTCTTGTCAGTCTATATTTCTGTTCACATGATCTAAATAAAACGTTTTTTGGCCTTAAAATGCTTAAACGTTTTGTTCTAGACTTGCAATCTTCTCTCCCTTGGTGTAAACATCATCTGAGGCTTGTAGTTACATACAGCTAGTTCGCAGTCACTATTCCTTACTGTTAGTTGTTTAGTAATAGACTTTTACCTTGAACCAAGAAAAAAACAATTTCTAACAATAAAATATATCAATACCATGCCCATGTAAAAATGCTTCAAGGCATGATCTTAATTGTAAACTCGTATTCTTATGCCTGTATTGCAAAATGGGATATTTGGAGAACATCCTGTAGACTTACACTTAAAACTAGACTCTCCTAGAGTAGATGCTAGTGTGAAACTTAGGATACGGGCAAAGTAGGAGACAGGTAAAGATTTGGGGGTTTGGTTTTGGTTGGTTTTTTTTTTTTTAATTGATTTTGCAAGAGAAATTTGTAGTTTTAAATTCAGAACAACACGCAATGCAAAGGATTCTTAAATGCTTGCACTGTTCTTAAAATGTCACGTGAAGAAATAAGCTGCAATAGATTATAACATTTTGAAAAGTACATGATCAGACATATCAGACAACTTTGTAAACTTCTGTTTTGAAATTTATTTTTAACTTTTTTCTTTGATCTGGATGTTAGATTCTAAATGGACTGGTCTGTTACTGCTTTTGAAGTGTGCTTATATCTAAATGTCTAGCTGAATTTATTTTACATATTTTTTTATTACATAGTTGAAATACTAAGGTTTTTTTAGCTGTGGGTTACAGCTGCGTGCTGCTGAAGGAGAAGTATTAAGAAGACTTTATGAATACACTTTTTCATTAATTGTTTGTTATCTTGCAGCCTCCTGATAATCAAAAGCTTGGTTTATTGGAAGCTTTATTAAAAATCGGTGACTGGCAGCATGCGCAAAGTATTATGGATCAGATGCCTCCGTTTTATGCTACTTCACACAAGTCTATCGCAATTGCCCTTTGCCAGCTTGTACATGTGACAATTGAACCTCTGTACCGCAGGTAAAATGAAAAGTAGAATTCTGTTGCTATATAGGGGAAGACTACTATTTGTTTATAAGCATGAATTCACTAATAAGCCTAACTGTATTGATACACGTCTAAAATTTTTACTTCTGTTTTATGTGAAATGCTGCACATCTTATTTTTCAGAGTTGGTGTACCTAAAGGAGCTAAAGGGTCACCAATTTCTTCATTGCCAAACAAGAGAGCACCAAAACAAGCAGACAGCTTCGAGGACTTGAGAAAGGAAGTGTTCAACATGCTTTGTTACCTTGGTCCTCATCTCTCCCATGATCCCATTTTATTTGCAAAAGTGGTGCGCCTTGGAAAAGCATTTATGAAAGAGGTTGGTATGACAGAACAACTTGTCAAAACTTGAAAAATAGCAATTCCTCTGATGTCAAAAAAATGCTCAAGTCTTACTAATTGTGTATATATTCAAATACTGAAACATAAAAAATGTCTTTGATTAAGGACAAATTTGGAGAGTCTTGCTTTAATTCTTGATCATTTTTATGATCAGTAAACAGAACCAATATTTTTATGAACAACTTAAGGCACTGTAGGTTTATAACCTGGAATATTTAGTGATAACTAATTTCTTGTTATGGTCTTCATTTCCTTAAAACTTTGTCTGTGTATGGATTATTTTTTTTATGAAAAAACTGGACATATGATACTAATAGCATCAAAGCTTTTACATTATTAGAATGACAGTGTAGACAGTGGGAAACAGTAACCTCATACACATCCAGTCCTTAAAATAGTACTTTCTGTTCCACCTGTCAGGTTACTTGGGAAGTAGGGGATGTTGCATCTTTTTAATTAGTGGGGTGTCCCCCTGTTCTGCTGGTTAAAATGCTGCTATTCTTGAACTTGTCAGTGACAAATCTCTGGATGCCACTAAGGATGAGTTCAATGTGGAGATCTAAAACACCGTATAAAGCCTTAAGTCGCCAACTTTAGAAATAAAATGGCCTCTTGAGATTTGTTGTTGTTTTTGACTGTATCTTTACTGCATATATACTGAAGGATTGGTAGTGTGACCAGTTTTAAAGAGCTGCAAGTTGAATTTATATTCTGAACTCCCTTGGAATGCACTCAGTAGCTCAGGCTGAGGCTAGAGATTTCCTTACTGATTTTCTGGCAATTTGCTATTTGAGTAGCAGTTTTTGTTTTATTTTTGAATCACAATAGAGGGTTTTTAAATTTATTTTTTTAAATAGCAGCTCAGAGAAACTTTGGAATTCCTATTATTATTACTACTAAAAATAAAAAAAAACCCTGAATTTAAAAATCGCTATCTTTGTTACCTGGCTTTTTATTTTAACTTAACAACTAAAAGTTGGAGAGGTTGGTTGATCTAAATACTACTGGAGGGGAGATTTTCAGTTTTAGAACTTTTTTTCTTAAAAGTATTTTTTATTTCAACTACAACTAACAGATACTGGAATGTTCAAAATTTATGTACCACTTGAGGTGAAGTTTTCATGTCCAGCTGTCCTTGATGATGCAGATAACTCCTGGAACTTAAGATCTTTTTGCCTAACGTAACAGATTTTGGCGAGAGTGTGCTCTTATCAGATTCTAAGATGCAGTGATAGGGTGCCTGAAGCTATACTAAGTTTGGATTCCAAGTAGTCTTTGTAATAAAATCATGGTGACTTCAAGCATTTCCATCTTCCTCTACTTCCATATCTTTGTAGGAGGTATAATTTCTCAGCATCTTCTCATCCAGAATGATAAGATTTCTCAATGGTTAATTCTCTTGCTTTATAGCATGCTTATTTCTTGCTGGCCTGCGAGAAGATTGATATTTGAGTGATAATGCTATGTTGCACTAAGAATGCAGTTAATTTGGAAATTATAATTTCAAGGGAGTAATTAATTTTACTGCTGTCAGTAGACTATTAAGACTACTTTGTAATTAAGTTCAAGTACTGAAGGTTTGTGAGAAAACTCTTGTTTCTTTGTGGATACGTACAGTAGAATGGAGATGACTTGGTTATAGGAATCTCTCATGCAGTTTTACTGTAAATATATGCATATAATAGTTTAATGTGTTTCTGACAAGAATGAGCAACATTTTAGCTATTTGCTCTAGGTTGGAACTGTGAAGAAATTCGTCAGTGACAGAGTGGTTAAGGTAACATAGGGAAAGTTATTTTTAATGCACTATTGCCATCAGCATGTTCTAGTTATGAAACTACATTTAACACACAGTAGAAATATAACTGGAGGTGATTTGACTGTAAGTTAACCCATATAGTAGTTTAAAAGTTAGACTACTAACATTGCACTGCAGCTTTCATGCTCAAGTGTACCTTTAAAATAATTGTGCACTTACTGGTGTGATAGCTTAATATGCTTTTCATGGTGAGTGGAACAAGAAGAGAGAAAAGAAAGTCATTTAATAATGAAGACTAAAAGCTTAAGAGGGGTGTTATTGTAAGAGAAAGATGGGGAAAATAATCTATGGCTGTTGAAAATTGGGTTGGAAGACCCAATTTTTTTAGGTAGAAGGTGAATGACTAGGACATTTTTTTCCCTCTCTCCAGTAAGAAAATTCAGTATTTCAAATGTAATAGTAAGTTTCCTTTATATTGTAGTTATTACTGCTTTTTGAACAAAAATGTACAGAGCCCCTGTATATGTAAGCAATGCATTTCATCTATGCATTTGAATTTCTGTTAAAAAAGATTTTAATGCTGACAGATCTGGAAAATTAAACGTTTACTAGGCATGCGGCCCTTCAGGTTTGTGCTTTTGCTGAGGTAGCCTTGTTCTGAAACTAACTGCTATGTTAATTATGCTACAAGTAACATGATCATCTTTGTTATAGTTTCAGTCTGATGGAAGCAAACAGGAAGATAAAGAGAAAATGGTAAGTTTATTTTGGAGGAAGGTGGGTGGTTTTTTTATGCAATGTTATAATTGAGACCAAGTGTTTAATAAGTGTACAACTCTTGTTTCTCTGTATAGTTTTATGCTTTAACAAATGTACGTTATAGACTTGTCTTGATTTTTTATAGGCAAGTTTGAGCCAGTCACAGGGTTTTGGTGGGTTTTATTCCTGTCATTTTTTTCTTTCTTTCTTTCCTGTGTTCCTCAAACCTAATCTCATTCTTTTAGTCTAGTGCATTCTACTTCTTATTTGCTCAGAATCAGCTGGAGTACCTCCAGCTATTTATTCTCTAAGTAACTTATCATGGTGGCATCTTGTATCTTAAAGAATTTACTGGGGAAAAGCATAGACAAAAAGAGAAATTAGAAGTAGAGGAGGTGTTTAATAGTACAATGACTAACTTTTCTGCTTTGGCTAATTTAATTCTTCCTAAATTTTCTGATTTATTGAATTACCAGGATTGGTCACAATGAAACCCAAGTGTCCAGTTGAGATCTAAGTTATAAAAACAAGCTGTGTTTTTCTTTTTTAAATCAACAATAAAGTTTTCAATATGAAGTTTGCACAGTTTTCATTATTATTTATTACTCCTCTTTCTTACTTGTCATGACTTCCTGACTTCCCGAATCATTGCAGAGAAAATCAGTGTCTTCTGTGTTTTGGTTTGGTTTTTGTTTGGTTTGTGGGTTTTTTTGTTGTTTTTGTTCTTCTTTGGTTTGGAGGATTTTTTTTTTTTCTACTGTGGTTGTTCTAACATAGCTCAATGGGAAAGAAATGTTTAAGAAGGGCAGAGGATAGGATACGAAGAACATGGAAGTTGTTACTGTGCCTTGGGAACAAATATAATGAATGGCATCAGGTTTTAATCTGTTATTTTGAAAATGGAAGTAGTGGTAAGGAATACCTTAACACATTGAAAGCAGTTGCAAAAATCTATTTTCTCCTTTTGCACTTCATGCAAGTTCTCAATATATCCATTTTTAAATTGTTTGATTTGAAAATAGGAGTGCAACTTGCTGAAAACTTCAGCAACTTTTTCAAATATCTTATATAGGCAAATAAAATATTGACACTATATATGGTCCATAAATTATCTAGTAAAAGATTTATGATGGGAGGTATTTTTAAGTCCGTTTTGGGTTTTTGTTGTTTTGTTTAGAAAGTCTTAATTTTGTGGCAAACTTGTATTTTTATCAGTCTACTAAGATGTGTACTTTGTGCATATCTGCATAGCATTGTTTCTGATGTACTTACTTGATAATTACCTCAAGTTTTTTGTCTTTATCTCAGGAGATACTGTTTAGCTGTTTGTTGAGTATTACCGATCAGGTCTTACTTCCGTCTCTTTCTTTGATGGACTGCAATGCATGCATGTCTGAAGAATTATGGGGAATGTTCAAAACTTTTCCATACCAGTACCGGTGAGTAAAATAATTTGTTTCCATTCTTTGGAAGTGGTCTCTTGAGTTGTCAGTACTAATAATAGTTTTCTTTTGTAATCCTTCAAGGTACCGTCTTTATGGGCAATGGAAGAATGAAACATACAATAGTCACCCACTTCTAGTGAAAGTTAAAGCTCAAACCATAGACCGAGCCAAATATATCATGAAGTAAGTTTAATTCCATGAATAACTGTCAGCTGTAATACTATGTATTATTGCATGTCACCAACTGAAGAAAAAATCTTGACAAATACATTCCCTTTCTCTATTGACTCTAATTTCACTGATAATCCTTGTTCATGAAGTATTTAATGTACAGTGATTAAAAACTGTCAAATAAGAATACAGACAAATTTGTCACCAACAAGGGTATTTTGTCTGTGAAAATGTCCTGTTAAATTATTTGAAACCTATTCAATGGTTATGCTGCTGTTTGATAAATTGCTTTGCTTATGGAAGTGTCAGAGTGCAATGTGCTTTCTCTAGTTATGGAGACTCTGAAGTCTCAAAAATCTTGCCATGGTTTCTTTCGTTTTGAAAGTAGGGCAGTAAGTTAAATTCAATGGAATGATTCGTTCTGTTCTTCAAGTGGGCTCACAACAATATCAGATTTACCTCAAATTTAATGTCTCTGACATTGTTGTGAGGGATTTGGGTTCTCCAGTTGTTGCCAAAAGCAGATGATGGTTTTATAATGTGGATAATGAGAACCTTTCTACATGGGCAAGACAGAATAATTGTTACTTGGTAAAAGACTTTGGACTTGCAGCTGTAAAAGCTAGAAACAATGATTTTGATTCTCTTCTGAGTTGTTGCATAGCTAGCATAGACTGTAATTTACATCCCTTCTCTTGTACAGTGGATTTCAGTTGCACAGATGAGCGATAGTGCTGTCAGTTGTTGAGATTGCTATGAGTACCATTTACTTTTGTGTATCGATTTCAGGTTTCACGTTAAGCTCATATCTTCAGTAGGGAATGCTGTGGAAGTGTAACACAATGAAATTAATACTGTATTTAATGAACAGAGTGCAACAAATGCAAAATTGACTTATCTGTGGCTAAATTAAATTTGTAGGAGAGATTAACAGCATCACATGATATTTTTATATGTGGTATAAGTCCCACTGACAACTTCCAAATGCAAAGTGCTGAAAGTTGAAACTAGAATACAGTCTATAATGATATAGAGACAGCTGGTTTGTACACTCTGCATGTTAAAGGATTGTGAGAATTTAATCTCTGCAACTAATGAAAATATTGCTTCACTGGAACTAACCTGTTGTTTTAATATTCTTTTTGCTTGTCTATTGTAATAAAATATATTCTCTTTTACAGGCGTTTAACTAAGGAAAATGTGAAACCCTCCGGAAGACAAATTGGGAAGCTCAGCCACAGCAATCCTACAATTTTATTTGATTATGTATGTAGTTACATGTATTTGAATACTATTTCATCCTAGCAATACATGTTAAAGTATAGGAAGGGACTTGCTGCCTTAGTGAGAGGGCAGTTCTAATTTCGTTACTTTTCACTTCTGATGCAAATATTAAAATGTAACTTGCTAATAGTACACAGGTCTGAGATACTAAGTATGACAGTAGCTCTTGAATAACCACAACTGCACAGAAAATTACATCCACTCATTTATAGGAGTAAAATATTTAATTTGAGATAGCTGAGGTGGGTCTCAGAGGTACAGGGCTGTGCTGATCAAGTTATGCAGAACGCAAATTCAAGTTAGGTTGCTCTGGGCAGTTGTATATGTGTGTGGTGAAGATATGTTAGGGTTATTTAGAAGAAAACATAAAGCTTTGAAGTCTGAAATACACCTACAAAGTTGGGGAGGATTTTTAAGATTATTTGATGCTACAGAATGTTTGAGAGGTGTATGAATGTATGTTGATGGACCTCCACCTTATTCACAAATGTGACTTGTAATTAATGATCTACTACATTTAGATTTTACTTGAAGTGAATACTGTAATACACACATACACGTGTGTCATGTACCGAAGAAAACATTCTAAAATTTGATTAATACAGTTGGCTTGTATTATTTCATGACCTAAGTTCATTTTTTATGCACTCTTTTATTATTATAAGTAGCAACAGAAAGTCCTACTGCTAAGGTTTAGGATTCTTAAGAAATCTTAGGAAAACGAGTGAAATGTTTTCACAATTTTATTTTCTGATAATTGAAAAAAAAATTACACAGAACTATTTTTACATGTTAGAGATGTTTCACTAATATTTCTGAGGTATTAGATAAATTAATGAGATTATCTATTACTTTGAAAGTGGTTTAGGACCTTCTGAAAAATTCATTCCAAAGCATGTTTTGTGTGGGTTTTGAGGACAAGCATTGTTAAATAGTTTTGATTTATTATGTGAAAGATAAGGAGTAGTGTTCCTGTTCAGCTGAATGTCTTTTGTAACTTTCAGATTTTATCACAAATACAAAAATACGATAACTTAATAACTCCGGTTGTGGATTCCCTGAAATACCTCACTTCGCTGAACTATGATGTCTTGGCATGTATCCTTTTATGTAAATCAATATGTCTAGTTACTGATAAAGTTGCAGTTGTAGCCAGATTAAGTCTGTTGTCTGTGAGTAAATATTATCTTCTATTGTTTTCTATTCTTGCTGCTTTTTTTCTGGAAATTTTAGTGAAGTTTGCAAATACCTTTGTACTCTTAGTGGATTACAGAACCCTCTCTCTTTTTTTTTTTTTTTCACACTATGAAAAGTATACTTTAAGGGTTTTTTACTACTTTCACTCTGTTCTTGAAGGCATAGTGATCCTGTAAATAGCGAGGTAAATACTGCTTTTTAAGTTACCATTCCTTTCATGATTTTATTTTTTTATGCCATAACTATGTTAGTGGATCCCTTGTATCATGCTTGCTATACTTGCTTGTGTTCATACATTACAATTGTGGAGCTGGAAAAACGAGTCTGTGTAACTTTTTGTTTTTACAAATTGAGGAAAAATATTCTCTAACTCCACTAAAGACTGTATCATTGAGGCTCTGGCAAACCCTGAGAAGGAGAGAATGAAGCATGATGACACTACAATCTCGAGCTGGCTGCAGAGTTAGTATTCTTGTTTTATTTATTATATTACTGCTTAAAATGCCTACCTTCCCTGTGATCTACTATACTATTGATCATTATGCTTAATATTTCACTTGTATCTACTGGCTAATTTTTAAAACAAAACAAAGAGCTGGCAAGTTTAATCAATAGGAAAATATTTTTTTTCTTTGTATTAGAAAAATACATGTATTGCTAACATTCCACATGTACTTTGTTAATGCTTTTTTGATGATTAGTATCTCATGAAGTGCAGTCACAGCTGTTTTTCCTTTCTTTAGGTCTGGCTAGCTTTTGTGGTGCAGTTTTTCGAAAATACCCAATTGAACTTGCTGGTCTACTTCAATATGTAGCCAACCAACTGAAAGCTGGGAAAAGGCAAGTCTTGCACAACAGATCTTTATAAAAAAGTGTCATTTGAGTGTTTGCTGATATGTGGGTGCTCAATGTAGTAGTTACTCTAGTAGTGGTAAAGCTCCATTCATGATACCATGAAGATTAAGAAATTTAAATAGCAGAAAGAATAATATCCTCTTTAGTACATTATTTTTCCTCTAATTGAATAGCTGTGCTGTGTTATTTTTGAAGTACTGATTTTTCATCTGTAACTTATTTTAATACGGTTTTCTTAACAACTAACCAGACAGGGAAAAAACCCTTCTGGTCTGTTATGTTGTCATAGAAATTATTGTATGTTATTTTAAAAATAGTATTCATTATATAAAAGGGTGTGACTGTTACAGTTTTAGTTTTTTTCTTTCTCATAGTGTCTTCTCTGCAGGGATGGCTCTTAACATTTTAATATTATTTTAAACACTTTGTCCAATTTATTTAATGGCAGTCGAATTGCTTCTTAATACTTCGATGTTAATGATAACTCAAATTTTTTAAGAAATTTGCAATTTGAATCTTCCTTTTCTTTTTGTCCTTCTATCATCATCACTTAGTGTTATTGTTTCATTTATTTATTTAATTGTAATGTGTTATTTTTGTCACATAGGTGAGTATCAACTCTTTTCTATTCTGAATCCCCATATGCTTACTGAAAGACAGCTTACCAGTGGAGATAATGCAGCATGTTATTTTAGGGTATTTATGTTGAGAAGTCTAGTTTTTTCCCTTCCCTGCAATGTAGACACTCAATCTCGTGTGGTCCCCTATCCCAATTTTTTTTTTGTATTCTGATGATGGTACAATCACATTGAGCTACAGAGGAAAGGTAAGTAATGTTTCTTGTCTTTCCCCAGAATGAAGTACTAGGGCTTTAAGTATTTTGAAAAAAAAAAAAAAAATTTCTGTTTAGTATTTGGGATTGTAGAAATAAAACGAATTTACTACTATGACCAGTTCCATAGGACTGGAGTATTCATGTATTTGAACTGGGAGTATGTGCTGATGTTGCATAGTTCCTAGACGGAAAACATACTTAGGGTTGGAAAAGCAAAAAAAATATAAACAATGTAAATTATTTACATATAAAACTCTGTTTTGGAGGGCATCTGTCAACACTTTTTATAAGTAGGTCACACAAATTTCAGAAGTTACTGGAAAATACTGCTGAGTTGAATGATCATGATACAATTTACTATACTTCTGTTGAGGAAAAGTCATTGTCCTTATAGAATTCAGAGCAGGAAGTAAAGCCCAGTCTCTGGACAAGATGGTTATTATTGTCTCTTGTATATTCTGTGTTCTAAGTAAAAAAATGTTCATCGTATTCCAGATAACCTCACCAGTCTAATTTTGTCAGTAAATTTTTAATACCGTGTACTATTCTATATTCATGAAATAACTGTATAGATACAGTATGAAGCATGTAAAGCAACAGAAGGGAGCAATAAACTATGATTAATTTGTTGATATTTAAAAGTTAATAGCACCACACTTGCTATTATTGTCAAAAACAATGAAATTGTTCTGAAGGGGCTCTGAAATCCAGCTGTTGAATGCTTGCATTGCTTTCAAGTACTAACTTTTTACTTGCAATAAAGAAATCCTTGTGCGCTCAGCATACTAGTTTCTTCTTCAAAAAAGAAATAATGTTATTTGTTTTAATGTGCATCATAGTGTTGCTTTGTGCTGTGTATTGAATGTCATAGCTTCCATTTCTTAAAAATTTTTTTTTGTTTTTACTCCGCTTTTCTGTTTTCTGTGCAGCTTTGATTTGCTTATTTTAAAAGAGGTGGTACAGAAAATGGCAGGGATAGAAATTACAGAAGAAATGACAATGGAACAACTGGAAGCCATGACTGGTGGAGAACAACTAAAAGCTGAGGTGTGTTCATGTTAATTAATTAATAATAGCTATTGCTTATTAAATGGTGGTTCTAAAGACTCTGATTCATGAACTCTGGCAGCATAGCTGAGACAGGTTTTACTGCTTTCATCAGAGAGCTTCCCACTCCATGCAACTTACAAGCCTTGCAGACAGGCAGCCAAGGTAATGTATACACGAGCCTTAATTGTGCTTCACAGCATCTCATATTAACGAAAGCAGTCTTCATTATCCGGTGTTATGACAGACCTGCATATTATAGCAGCCAGTGAGCTTGTATGTTGTGCAGTCCTGCTCTTTTAGCCCTGCTCTGGGGGTAGCAGCTCCCTGTTGAGTGGAGTAATATCTTATACCATTTTAACAGCTAAAACTATTGCAGCATTGGCATCTAAGATCTGGTCGAGTCTAACCTAGACTCAGCTCTCTAGGGAGTTGAATAGTTGTAATTAGAACTAAAATCTGATATACCTGTGTTGAACACAGAAGAGACTTTGAGCAGATGACAGCAGACCTAGGTCTAAAATGCAATGTCATGATGGCTGAGCTGAAATGTCACTCTTCGTTTACTTTTTAAAAGACTAAGTGATAGCATGTAAGACTAGTTAGTTTCTGGTTCTTATATACATACATTGCAGTACAGGATCCAGAGGGAGTTTTATTGATGGACAGGAAACTGTATTGATGTTAATTCATCAGTATTTCTGCAGTCAGAAGCATACGTGGTTTCCGTTTGTGGTGCAGTATTTCCAAACTTGGGTAACTTTTCCTGTACTGTGCAGGGTGGATACTTTGGCCAAATCAGGAATACAAAAAAATCTTCTCAGAGACTGAAAGATGCATTATTGGACCATGATCTTGCCCTTCCACTGTGTCTGCTTATGGCTCAACAAAGAAATGGTGTAATCTTTCAAGAGGGAGGGGAAAAACACCTAAAGCTGGTGGGAAAACTGTATGATCAGGCAAGTAGAAACAGTTGCATTTATAAGAACCCATCCTTTTCTTTAACTTCTAGTGTATTAGCACAGAAATAAGAATATATACGAATTTAGCATGATAAATACAAATATATAAAGGATTTTCCAAATTAGTTGCAGTTATCTCATTAAAATATATGTGTGTATAAATATATATTATAATGACAAGTGACTTTTTTTTTT